TAAATATAATCTTTATAATCTTCAATAAAATAATAATCTTCTTGATACATCCGAACTGCGCCAATTTCGGGCCATATAGCATATGGGACGCATGTGCGACACCGCATGGTCCGCATACATTATTATTCGGTCATGCACGAAATTTCTACGTTTGTGCTTTAGAGCGACTCACACTCGGCGACGGACGAGCGATTGCGCAATCGCTTGCAAAGTGCACAAGCGACGGGCGATTGGCCCCGCCCCCAGTCGATGCAGTCGGCTGCGGTATCGATCGAGCAGAGCCATCGCCGTCGCTTGTGCACTTTGCAAGCGATTGCGCAATTAAAAATCAGATCTTATTCTATCTGGTGCAGTCCCGCGTGCATATGCCATTCTCCTGACGAACCTGTACTCTCATAACCTGGTCTTGTATGGAGTACCGGCTGTTAGAGCTCATCCAGCTCGTTAGAGCTCCCAGAGAGCCAGTCACAGTGACGAATAAATATTATCTAATGAATAGCGATATCACAGTTCTTCTTCAGGTTTGCCTTGGAAAAATGCAGTTGGGAATGAGTCAGTAATGCGGATGAAACTGGATATAAGAAGTGGGCACCAGGTAAAGCCAGTTGTGTGTAATCCACTCGCAATGAACACAGCAAATACTCTGTCATAGAGCGTTCAGAGTTGGCGATCGTACGTGCGTTTAGACGCTAGGCGATTAGGCGGGAAAGACTACATGCGTGTTGATTGGTATGCCCCGCCCATACAGCGCTGTAGGCGAGTAGGCGATTAGGCGATCGCTCGATGGGCGGAGCAACAAATTGAATACGTACTCTTCCCTTATCGCTTGCTCGCCTAATCGCACGTACGATCGCCAAATATGAATGCTCCATCGGCTTTATTCGCGCTTGTGATTCCCTCCAAGTGTGTAGTGAGAATAAGTGCGCTTTGCGTGCGATAGCGAAGCACTGTAGCTATAACACGTCGTAGGCTCATGAGAACTGAGCAACGTTTTGAAATGACTCTGGCAGATAAACCATGACCAATGTTCTATGTTATGATATATGGTTAGCATCAAGATTAGGTCCTTATCCTCTACAAATCAGCAATATTTTTCATATTGTTCCGTGCCGTTATGCTTGTGGCAAGGACACTCGCCACGCGAATGAATAAGACTAAGGGTGTTCATACGATCAGTTTCCCATCATTCTTCTGAATTTCGCGACCAGTTAATAATGCCTTCTGTTTAAAGGACGAATTCACGATGAAAAAGCAACCCATTTCAAATTAACCTAGGGATGGTGAGTGGTACACGAAAGAAGGAAGAACCATGAGAAACGGCCCAGAACCCGAGAAATGGTACCCCTTCCTTGCCCGTTGATTCGAGCATTGATGCGACTCTCATCGCTGTGCCCTCTTCAACACTACGCTCTCTCAGCTATCTAATCACTCGCCACGTATTGAACTTACGGCACGGAGGGAACGCGGGGAAGTGATCAGATGATCGGTGGGCGGAGATCGCCGGACCCGCCAGCTTTGAGGCATGATAGGTCGCCGAGGTCAAATTTTTCCATGCGAATTGCGCGTCAGTTCGCACCCTCAGGAGGTCCGTGGGTCCCTCAACTAGGTCAGTTTCCCTTTCTTCGAACTTCATTCTAATCGTTTGATTATCATCGTTAGGGCGACCGATGACGTATGCGTAGTTTTGTGCCACTTTGTGTCTCTCGATCAAGATCGATGCAAGCTGTTCGCCACTTTAGAAGCGATCGTATCTCTTCGCTCTTTAGATTGAGTCTTCTATTTGGCTCAGGACTTTGAGCAGCCTGCTTGCTGACCTCAGGGTTGTCGCAGTAGTGATCGCATTCCGCAACACTCGGAGCAAGAATTTCGACCGTACTGTTGTTTTTTGGCCATGATGTTGACCCGGACACTGGTTCACCGGTCCTTAAAGCCACGTCAAGACACGATGTCGGCAAACCACGATAATGAAGTTGTGGGTGCAAAGTTGACCAATAATGAAAGAAAAGTTTAAAAAAAGACGTCGAACAGGGACTTAGACAGGGTCCCCTCGCCACTTAGCAATGGAGGAAGACGCTCGTTGGACGAGTTGTATGAACATGCCCGCAGTAAATGCGCCCCAATTGCAATAGCTAGCTGGCTACTTGCTAGCTATTGCCAGCTATTGCAACTGGGGCGCAATAATGGGATCGTTTCATGTTTTGAGGTAGAAGGTAGAAGGAAAAAATGTAGAAATTTAGCGTTGTCGGCATCACTACATCGATTGCTTTAAAGGATCGACCTCAAATAGTCCCAGGCGGTCCCGCAACGACCAAAAATCAACACGCGCTCTTCACAGCAGCAAGGGGGCGGCTCCACCGAGGCTCGGTGGACCCGCCCTTTTCGAAGAAGTTCGAGCCCTTCCTACGCATTTCAAAGGTAAGTTTTTAATTCAGTGACAGTTCCTATGAACTTCACTTGGGCTGGGGCATGCTTCCACACCTCAGGATTGAATTGGTTGAAACCCTCCTTGGACTGTTGCTTTAATGTGGGATTGAGCTTTGGGAAACGCTTATTAACATGTCACTGCGGGAGGAAGAGGATACTTCTTCTCACGGCCCACAAATAGAACCCACAGTCCACGCACTAGTGCTCCAAAAACAGATCCAAATTAGATGATTCCCTAAGCACAACATGTACAGGGTGGCCGAAACGTATAGGACGCGGCTTTGACCGCTTGCTGGCACTGAGCCGTGGAGTTTTCAGAGTGTTTCGAAACTCTTCGAAAGCTTTGAAACTATGTAAGAAGCACCATAAGTTGTTTGGTCCAAAGTTCATCTGAACTCTCGCCATGAAGATTTTTTGCATCGACCCATTACCAAGAGGCTGCCCAATGACGGTCTCTGAAATTGCAACTTCGGAAAGCGACTCGGTATTCCCTCTTCAACTCTTTGAAACATGTTCGGTGCTCTCAAGGTTCAAGCACACGTCTCTGGGATTGCGAAAAGTGGAAGTTCAAGAACTGTGCACACTCAGAGGATTGGGGCAATCACCTAGAAGAGGATGGCTCACAACGATGAAGCCAGCGTGAGTCACATCGCTTTTGATCTCAGGATCTGCCGTCACTCCTTCCAGAAAATCTTGGGAAGCAACCATTATTTGAAGAGGTTACCGACTCTTTCTATGCTGGTTTTTATTGGAGCAACCCGAATAGATTCAACTGATAAAATGCAAAAAGTTTCTGCACGAGCTCGAGGTGCGCCGCATCTCTCTTACGGATTGGGTTAATGAGAAAATTTTCGAACTAAACTTCTTTGCGACCACCAAAGTCAGAGGCAGTTGTTGCCAAAAAGTGAGAGCAAGTCTCCGAGATAACGTCTAGTTTACAACAGACTTTCTCCCGAAGGTGTGGTAGTTTGTGACGGGGTAACATCCAAAAGTGCAGCTCCATTGGAGTTCATCTTCCACAAATGTTGAAATTAACTCGAAGGTCTTGCAAAAGACTTAATGAGGTACGGTATGTTGTTCTGGATTTACGAGCATTTTGCTCAATGATCGTTTGCTCTTCAATGAAGCTGGGCTCCCTAATACGCGTTCAAATCGACCAAAGCCATCCTGGGCGCTCACTTCCCGGGCCACTGGAGCAAGGAATTGTGACCTTCTTCCTCTCAGGCCCTTAACCCGATGGACTCCTCTATGTGAGGATGTTGTAGAGCAAGACCTCATAAGACTTCTCCAGCTCGGTGGGTGCTCTGAAGTTAGCGCTTCAGAAGAGGTGGGACGACATCGCCGTTGGCTACCTGCGGCGCACTGCTGATTTTGTCGTTGGACGTCAGAAGGCCTCTCTCAAAGCAGAGTCGTCAAATTCAAAGCACCTTCTGCACAAGTGATCAAATAGCTTAACTCTATCTTTGTGTGAAGTCGGTTTCCTGATCGAGTCTCTTTCTTGGCTTTTACACACAAAAACATGGCGTCCTATACTTTTCGGCCACCCTGTACAATTAGCCTGTTTTTAAACCACAACCGTTCTAATGGTAAGGCAAACACACACTGTCAGTCCTAGACTTATACAATGCAGTTCAAAAGTGTAATGGCATTCTAAAACTGCTGTTCCGAGTTAGAATGAAGGATTCATAACTTGCTACCAACTTTATTGAATTCAACATGCTCTGAAACTATATTCCAATTTATTTCAGAAAAGCAATATCAGCTACAAATTTTTTTTTGAGAGAAATTTTGACGCCTCTGTTCCGAAAGTCTTAAGACAACCTGTGCAAAGAATTTCAACAGCCTCTTGTTCTCATTGAGCGTAGCCAAAAAAATGCAAATGAACAGGAATTAAGAAGAACGTTAGCTGTTGAGCCTTTGCTCAGGGCCTCTTCATACCTTTAAGCAGTGGTTGTTTTAATATCCTCACAAAAATGTTTGTGACCCATATTGTGCTTTGGAAAGAAGTGAAATAATTTGCATACCCAATTCAATTAAACAGGCTAGGGGATAAGCCATGAATCCTTCATCCTAACTCGGTAGATTCCCCTTCAGAGGTGCCTTTATACATTTGAAAGCACTGTATTACTTAATAGACTGCAGTCGTACCAATGCATCGATACCAATGGTTCGAAGGCAGGCTAATTGTGTAAAGTGAGCACAGCGGTAACGAAGAAGATTCAAGGTGATTTCCAGCGTTTTTAATTTCTTGAGTGTTGGATATTTTTAAACAGATAACATGTTTTCAGAATATGTTCCTATGTGGCGTGAAAAGTAAGCGGGTCCTTCTTAAGGTGATCAAGTACCTCGACAAATTATCCTGTAACGATCTGGCGGATTACAAGCTTTTATCTGGCATTATACACGAGGTTAGAATTTCTTCTTTTTGTGACTGGAACGTTATTTCATACACAAAGAAAATATTCGTCAATCCCACACCAAAAAAAGAAAAATAAACGTATACATCCTTCCTATTCGAGGAAGTGAATGGTAATGTTGAAGCCATTACGCTCAAAAACGTTTCTTCGATTAAGAATCCTTCACCGAAAATTTCGTCACAAGCAAAGGGCTAGCCAACAAAAGAAATCGACGGGATAGCAAAAATGATTATTTCTCATGTGTAACACCAGTTTCGAAATACAATAACAATCAAGGGTGATATATGTATGTATCAAAATGTGCGGGAGAC